ACAATGCGTTTGTTTATGGAGCTGTCAACAGGCGTAGTTTCTCAGGTGTAAGTTAGGGAATTTCAGCCTTGAGGAGATCAAAGGGCAGAAGTGTCAGTGTCCGGCTGCCAAGGTCAGAAGGCCAGTGCTGGAGGTTGGGGTGGTCGCTGTGCCTTCCGGTCAGTTACCTCATGACCCTCAGCCAAGCTCCTTAGCCTGCAGCCCTGTGGAGAACGGAAGAGATCAGGACACGATAGGGAGTTCCACACAGTGCCACACCGTCCCCAACAAACCTGCTCACTTCAACGAACTCCTCCCCTCAAAGCCAAATCTGTCTTTCAATTTAACAAGCACATAGGAACATACTCTTGAGTTGGGGACATCCTTAGGCAGACAGGTCTTAGGCTCATCCAGGCCACATAGCTCAGCAAGGGTCCGGGTCAGACAGTCTTGACAGTCCATCTTGACCTCTCATCCAGCTGCTACATTTCCTGAGGGCTCATTTCCTGGTGGGGTCGGATGACAGGCTGAGGAGCTTTGGTAGCTTTAGTTCATTAATACCTGAAGAAAAACAAATACCCCAAGGAAAGGACACTCATACTCATTTCACTCATGAAAAAGTGAGGCTTTGCCATGACCACACTAATTTTGTTGTTGTATTACTGTTTGGTACTGGGGATTCAACTCTGGTCCTTGCGCTTACAGAGGCAGGCGGTGGAACCACTGAGCTAAATCCCTGGCTCCTGACCACACTAATTTAAGGAGTGTTATTTACACTTTGCATGTAAGTATAATTTATACTTGATGGAGCTGCTTCTCTATGTCTTCTTCCCTAGAGCTCCAGAGATGGGAATTTTGGGAGCCCATGTATCCTAAGCATATTATGGATAAGCAGCTATCCCCACGGAACAACATCCCATCATCTAGTTGTCACAGCAGTGCCACGGAATAGCCTACGGCAGCAGCCTATGCTCCTTGCAGGGACTGCCCAGAATGGTCCTGACGCTTAAAGCCACACTCTGCAGGAGACCCCATATTTTCACATGCATGTTTTTTTGTTTTTGTTTTGTTTTTTGTTTTTTTGCAGTGTTGGGAATGGAACCCAGGGCCTTGCACATGTTAGGCCAGTGCTCTGTGCCGATCTACATCATCAACTCTGCTTTAAAAGTTTATTCTGAGACAGGGTCTCACTCAGTTGCCCAGGCTGGCTTCCTTGACCTTATCTTGACCAGCAACTTCACTCAGAAACAGTGCTGGACAAGTCCCGTCCCCTACAGAAACAGTTGCCCCAGCCTGGGATGGGCCTGAATCTGAATCTCTAAGGGAACCTTTCTCTAATTATCAACAGGAAACCCGTCCTGGTCCTGGGCAGGAACACCAGTCACCACCTTGAAGAGGAGGACCCTTGTCCTACCCTGGCATGGAGCCTCTGCTTAGCCCAATTAGGAATCTCTGAAAGCACATTGGAAGGAAGGCCCACACGGGGAATCTCTGTCCTCAAGCTGGGTGGCAGCCTTGCTCTCCAGGAAGCATCTGAGATACACCACACTCATAAATTGAATTCTGAACCACAGCCCTGGCTCTCTTTACAGAAATCTCCATCTTCAACCCCTTTAGGAACCCTGACTCTATGTGAGAGCCCTTGCCTTCATCATTGGCAATGACCCTTGACATCACTCTACAACAGTCCTGGATCACACACCTACCCTGTGGCAACCCTAGGAATCTAGGATCCAACTTGCAATGTGAACCTCAATCTGGAACTTGCATAGAAAGCCTTTTCCTGACCGTGTGGCTGGGACACCATGCCTACCTTCTATTCTGAGCCCCAACTTATCTTTATTTTTTCAGCAACACTAGGGATTGAACCCAGGGCCTTCTCACTGACCTAACTCTCCCCAGTACCCTCTCCTATTTTTTCAGTACCGGGAATCAAACTCAGGACCTTGTGCTTGTGAGGCAGGCGTGGTGGTGCCACCAAGCTAAATCCCTGGGCCCCCCTCCCCTTATTTTGATTCAAACTTACTGTCTCCTGACTCTCAGCCTCCCAAAGTGCTGGGATTACAGGTTAGGGCTGCTGTACCCTGCCTGACTTATCCTAAAGGCAACTATGGCTTCGCCTGGCATAGGACCCCCACCCACTGCATGGCTTCTATGTGCTGAGATTGACAAGGCCCCCCATCCTCCTTGCATTAGCTCCCGTGCCCTGATCCTTTACAGGAAGCCTGGCTGTACAACTGTACCAGGACCTCTGAATTGATTTTTCTGTAGAAAACTTTTCCTAGCCAGGTATGGTGGCACACACAGCATTTTGGGAGGTTAAGGCAGAAGGATTCTAAATTCAAGCCCAGCCTGGGAGACTTAGTAACTTGTATGTATGTATGCATTTATTTATTGATTTTTGAGACAGGGTTTCACTATGTAGTTCAGGCAGGTCTCGAACTGACGATGTGGCCCAGGCTGGCCTCAAACTCACAACAATCCTCTTGCCTCAGTCTCCTAGGGCTGGGATTACAGGCCTGCGCCTCCACACCCAGCAACAAGTTAGCAATTTTGTGAGACTCTGTTTAAAAATAAAAAAGGGCTGGGAAGATAGCTCAGTGTGAAGACCCTGAGTTTAATTGCCAGGAGAAAGAAAAGAAAACCTCTTTGCTGAACCTCAACTGAAATCCTTTACATATTTATAGGAATCCCTCCTGACCTGACACAGGAAGCCCTGATCAGATTCTCTGCAATAGCCCTTGTCCTGGCAGTGCTGTTCTCAGCCTGCACAGGAACCACTGTCCTCACCCCACAGAAGAAACATAACCTGAATAGTTGAAGAAACCAGGGCTCAAAACCTGCAGGGACACCCCTCTACGATTTCCAGCAGGGACCCGTGTCCTAAGCTGCTACAGAGGCCCCACCTTTATGCTCAACGCGAACCTTTGGTTTGCCTCTTTAGAGGAATCCAAGGAATGAACTCCTGTAAAACTCCGACACTGTAGGGGAACCTGTTCTGATCGTGTTAAACAACCCATAAAACCAGGCAGGTGATACATGTCTATAGTCCCAGCTACGTGGCTCTTGTGTTGCGGTTGTTTGCAGTGCTGAGGATCAGACCCAGGGTCTCACACATGCTAGGCAAGTGCTTTACCATGAGTTAAACTTCTCGCCCTAGGATTCTGATATTTTCCTCTTTTTCTGTTTTCTTCTGCTCTTTCGCTGTGCTGGAGAAGGAATACAGGCCCTTGCACATTCTAGACAAGTGTTCTACCACTGAGCTACACTTCCAGTCGGTGTCCCAGTTACTTAGGAGGCTGTGAGGCAGAAGGATCACTTGAGCCTAGGAGCTCAAGGCCAGCCTGGGCAGCACAGTGATATCCCGTCTTGGAAAAAAGAAAAAAAGAACATGCCACAGAGACTATATGCAGCCTGCAAAGTCTCCACTATTTACTACATGGAGTAGTAACTTGTAGAGAAACTTGGCTGACCCCTGCTCTACAGAAACCGCTCTTCTAACCAAACAGGAAAATGAACCTTGCTGGGTCTGGTAGCCCATACTTGTAATCCTAGCACTTGGGAGGCTGAGGCAGGAGCATTGCCATGAGTTCTAGGCCAGCCTAGGCTACATAGTGAGTTGAAGGCCAGCCTAAACTACATAGCGAGACCTTGTCTAAAAAAAGACCCTTGTTATGGCTTGTGTTTAGATCTTCCCCCAAAGCCTCATGAGGTCACAGGTGGGGGTTTTTCAGATCTAGAATCTAGATCTAGAGTGTGTGACACTGGCATTGATTCATGGTGCAACCCTAAACGCAAGGGCACTAGGATTAAGGGTGTGAGTGTTCTCTCTTTAAGTAGCCTGGGTAAGATATAAGGGACAGAGAGAGCTGTGGTCGTCCCTTGCTTGCTTGTTTTGCTACCTTCTGCCCACCGTGAATTGTTTCTCCTTCGCAATGCAACTCTGCCATGCCACCCTGCCTTGGGGCCAGCCAATTATGGACTGAAACCTCTACAAAATACGAGCTAAATAAACCTTTCCCCCTTTAACTTTGGGTGTCTGGTATTTTGTCTCAGCAACAAGAGAAAAGTAAGTAAGACAACCCCTTAGTCTCTTCAGTCTATTACTTTGCAGGCATCACAACCTCAGAATATTCTTCAGTATGCATCACCGTATATGTTTTCATTGATAAGTGGAGAGATTTGAAAGCCCTGGGTCTATGACCCTCTTGCATTAAGACAAAAGTCATGTTTGGATGGAAAAGGAGTGGAAGGAAAGAGGCTGAAACTGTCATTTTCAAGAGGGTCAGAGGGCCTGGCTACTGGGCGGCAAAGCTGTCAATCTGTTTGTTAGTCAGCAATGCTGACTAACAGACCGCTTATCTGTCAGGTCCCAGCCTGCAGCGGGGTAGGAAATGGTGGAGAATGAGAGGGAGATTAGGAGGACAAACCGGCCTCCTGTGGGTCTGATATTTAGACACTGGGTGGGAGATGCAGGGGGTGGACACAGGGACTACTCCCTTTAACCCCCACCAAGTGCCCATATGCTTTCTAAAGCAGAGGTTACCCAGAGGAGGGGACAGATAGAGCCACTACCCATGAGAAATTCCCCTTCCCCAAGTCCATTCTGGCCCCGCACTATTATTATCACAATTTTCCAGATGAGGAAACTAAGCACAGAGCTCTGTTCGGTAACTAGACCACGGTCACATGGCTAAGTCCTATAACCTCAGTTTCCTTATCTGCAGAGCAGCCTTAATAATGGGAACTACCTCACAGAAATGTGGTTTCCAACAACGCCTGTCACTTAATACTTGCTAACACTCCCATTACTCATCCCTTTTGAGACTCCTTCCACACCACCCCCCCATTTTCGTGGTGGGTTAACAGATAACATTCGGTGCCTCTTCTGGACCACCGTTGTTAATATTCTCACAACGTTTATCACCATCACCACGCCCACTTTGGCCACCCGCGAGCCACCGTCCAGAGTCAACCTCGTTCTCAGCCCACCCACCAGCCCGCCCGCTACGTCATCACTGTGCGCTGCGCGGAAACCCCTGGAAGACGCCCCCTTCCTAACGCCTTGCTTCCTTGCTCGCTCTTCAATCTCCGCACGGCACAGTTGGCGTGGGTCCGTAGTGCTCCTAAGGTGGTTGGGCAGGGACGGAGGGACGGCAGCTCTGGCAACCTGAACGACAGCGGCAGTAGGTGAGGTAGGGAAGCTCTTGAGCCGAAGTCGGGTCTCGAACTGCTGATGCCCGCTGTACGCAGGCGCTGTACGACTCGCGTCCCTCCCTGACGAACCGGTCTTCGTTTTGTGAGATCGCGATAGGTGTGGCCCAGTGAGAAACGCTAGCCGGCAGCACAGTCTAGGCTGTGGGCGGGATCTGGGTGGGCAGTAAAGAGAGCCAGCCCAATGGAAAAGAGAGGATCCCGCACCCGCGGCCAGACAGGTGGCCGGAAAGTTGGCAGCCCGAGCCAAGGGCGGAGTTTGAAAAAGGGGCTGCGCTCAGTTAGTAGGGCCGGGAGGATTGGCTGGAGTCGACGGCTGGGGCGGGGAGGGGCGGGGCGGGGGGGGTCGCTCAGTTAGTAGGGCCGGGAGGATTGGCTGGAGTCGACGGCTGGGGCGGGAAGGGGCGGAGGCTCGTGGGAGGCGGCTTGGGACTGGCTGCCGGGACCTAAAGAAACGCTAAAGATCCGGTCTGGGCAGGGGGTGGGGTCCGGTGGAAGGAGAGGGGTAGTTCCCCGAGGATCAGGGCTGGTTGAAACGCTAGGGGCGGGATCTGGTGGAGTCAAGGTGGAGTCGAGGCTGGAGCTGGATCTGGCCGAGAGAAGTCCTGGGTGATTACCCTGAGATAGGCCAGAAAGGGCAGGTTTATGAAGAGATGGGGTCTGGGCGAGGTTACGAGGAAAGGGGGCGGGGTCTGGGACTGAAGCTTGGCAGAGTGGAGGGCTGTGATTGTCTGGAAGGGGCAGGCCCAAAACCGACTGAGCCTAGGGAGGGGCGAGGTTAGTTGGTCCGTGAAAGAGTAAGACGGGGAAAGAATCTGGGGAAAGAGATGGAACCCAGTGGAATGGACACCTGTAGACGGAGAGGGCCTGGGAGGCTTGGGGATTAGTCTTGTCTTATCTAGGGGGCGGGCCTTGGAAGGGGCAGGGATGGGGGTGGTCCCCAGGGCGATCAGCTCCTCTCACTGCCGTCTCCACACCACCCCTCAGGGTTGTGTCCTTGGCGAACGTTCACTGATCATGAGCTCCACCGGCCAGGATTCCACCACAACCAGGCATCGAAGGAGTAAGCACAACCCCCAGTCGCCCCTTCACGACTCCAGTGTCACTTCGGTGAGGCCCCAGACCTGCCCTGATGAGGGGGAGGGAGAACCAGCCCGCCCCTCCTGGACTATGACTCTGACTCTGCTTGGCAGAAGCGAAGTGTTAAGAAGGGTGCTGTACCTCGCTACAGCCCCAATCTAGCGGAGGTGAAGAAGAAGGGCAAAATGAAGAAACTCAGCCAAGCAGTGGAAGATGACCTAATCATGGGTCTTCAAAGGCTGGTGAGAGGGGCCTGACCCCATTTGGGCTCCTGGGACAAAACCCTGAGGTTCCCACCGTGGACCATAGAGGATGCCCCCTTTGCCTTGAGTGGATCTGCGTTTCTTTCTTTTTCTCTGCAGGATATGAATCCTGAGGCCAAAGTCCTGGTTGGCACTGGGCTGGTGTTTGATGAGCAGCTAAATGAATTCCATTGCCTCTGGGATGACAGGTGAGGCTGCGTCCTCCAAGCTGTCCCCAAATACGCAGATACACTCGCACATCCCACCAAGTAAGAGTGAATCCTTTTTTTGGTTTGTTTGAGACAGGGTCTCCTATGTAGTTCAGGCTGGTTTTGAACTCACTATGTAGCTCAGGTTGGCCTCAAACTCATGGCAATCTTCCTACCTCAGCATCCTGAGTGCTGGGATTACAGATGTGGACCACATGCCCAACTCAGGATGAATCCCTTCTAAAATCTTCCTGAAGGCTGGAAGGAGAGGATTTGGAAAGGTGGTGCTCTGCCAGGTATGGTGGTGTATGTCTGTAACCCCAGCACTCAGGAGACTAAGGCAGGAGGATTGCCATGAGTTCGAGGCCAGCCTCAATTATGGAGCAAGATTCTGTTTTTAAAAAAAAAAAACGTGGAACTTATGCTTGAAAGTATTCCTCTTGTTTAGCCAACATGTATTTATTGAAGTGCCTATTCATACTAAGAGTTGGTGATATAATGTGCCAAACAAAACAGGGTCCCTTCTCAGGGATCTGGCTGGTGAGTAGAAGGATAGATCACTTAAACAGCTAACAGTAGTAGGAGTGTTTAATCATACACTTAACTTCCAGGGTTTTCTGAAGCCTTCCTCAAGAAAGGGACATTTGTGTGGAAACAGAAGGATCACCCCCCTGACTATGCTTTCAAAAGAATCCACTAATTTTTTTGCTCTGTGTTCAAAATGTATTCAGTATCTGCCCTCTCCTCATAGTCCTCTGCTTGCAGCCTCCACACAGCAGCCTAAAACACATGTGTAGGATGATGTTCCTTTTCTTAAAATATTTCAAGGGCAGATCATGGCTTTCCAGGTGAAGTGTGACTTCTTCATCCTGGCCTCTTAGGGTTCCACGCGATCTAGCTCCACATCGCCTATGTGAGCTCACCCCCCATTTGCTTCACTTCACTTCACCCACACCGACCCTTTGCTATTCTGCTGGCCTGCCAGTTACCCTTTCCTCAGGTCTTTACCCTTGACTGATCCCTTTTCAACTTTCACATCTCAAAGAGAGTTGGCCTGGCCACCACCTTCCCTCCACACATGATCTTAGATATTTTCCTAACTCCTGCCAATGTTTGTTAATCATTATACTCATGTGTTTACTGATTTAGTAGCTATCTCCATTATCCTGACCTAAGACTAATTCACGAGGGCAAAAGACTCATTTATGGAATACATATTTACTGTCTAAGCAGGAACTGGGAGTACAGCAGTAAACAAAACTAGCAACCTTGCCTTCCAAGCGAGGGGAAAGAAACAGACGAACAAGAAGGGGATGATGCAGAGTGTTGGATAGAGCCCTAAGGCTGAGGGGAGTAACAGAGTGTGATGCAGGGGGTGACATCCACATTCCCATTGAGCAGGAAGGTCGGGGACAGCCTTGCTGACAGTCGAGTGGGCTCTGAAGGAGGCAAGGGAGTGAGCCATGGAGGCATCTGGGAAAAGTGGGCTCTAGGCAGGAAGGACAGCTGCAATAAAGTCTCGGGGCTGGCTGAAGGTTGTGTGGTGGGCTGAGAGCAGGGGAACCAGTGCAGGTGAAGCAGGGCACGGGAAGGGGCGAATGGTAGGCGATGGGATCAGAAAGGTGATACGGGCGGATTGCTTATGGCCTTCTAGCTTTGGCTTTTACTCAGAATGGGATGGGAGCCAGGAGAGGGTTTTGAGTGGCTGAGGGCTGTGATCTGATTAGGATATTTTTCTTCTGGTTAGTATTTTAACCACTGCTTGGCTGCTGTGTGCAGAAAGGATAGTGGGGGAGCGAGGGTAGGGGCAAGAGTTCTAGGAGATGATGGGGTGGCCCCAGGCTGGAGGTTAGGGTGGCAGGAGTGACAGTGGGAAGGACAAGGTCAACAACAGGAGGCAGGAGCCTGGGATTTAGCTCAATGGTTCCGCTGCCTGCCTCGCAAGCGCCAGGTCCCGAGTTCAATCCCCGGTACCAAAACCAAACCACAAAAAACACGAGGCAGGGCTGAGTCCCAGGAGTCAGGGGAGCAGATAAGGAAGGATGGGTGGGGAGATGTAAGAGCAGACGGGGCTTCTCAGTGTCCCCATTCTGTGTGTGTGTGACTGCATCTCCGTCTCTCTAGCTTCCCTGAACGCCCTGAGCGGCTCCATGCCATCAAGGAGCAGCTGATTCAGGAAGGGCTCCTGGATCGCTGTGTGTCCTTTCAGGTGAGGCCCCCAGGGGAAGAGGGGAGGGAGCTGGCAGGACTGGGCATAGCCTGAGTCTTAGCCCCTTGTTCCTCATGTCTCCTCAGGCCCGCTTTGCTGAAAAGGAAGAACTGATGTTGGTTCACAGGTTAATGCTTGGGAGCCTGTTGGGCTGGGACTAACCAAGGCAGGCTGGATGCTCTGGGAAGGAATGTCACAGCACTGTGGCTGGCCTTGGGCAAGTCACCACGCCTGCCAGAATCAGTGTTATTGCCTGTAATTTGAGGGCTGGTAAACATAAAGCTCCTCGGGAGGGCCTGATGAATGCCAGGTACTTCAATCCGGCCAAACAGTTCATGGGCCCAGGGTGAACTGTTGTGAGTAGAATGATCAAGGGGATCCCCCGAGGGGCCTGCAGAGCCCAGAGTAAGACGCTTGGAGTGGCATGGCTCCAAGGAAGCTAGCTTGGCAGAGAAGGTACACTCTGAGGAGCTAAGTTCTGAGGAGGCAAGCGGTCAGTCTACGTGAGAGGAAGGCTGAGAGAGGGAGTCCAGCTGAGAGCCTGGAAGGAGGATTTGGTTGGCTAGAGCAGGAGAGAAAAGATATTCCTGGAAGTGAGGTGGGCTAGGGAAGAAACAGGGACTGTGTCCTATGTCACAACTGTTCCCTCAGGTTGACAGTTGGGAAGCCTGATTTGAGCAAAAGTGTTGGTGTGTGGAGGGCTCAACTGAGGAGGGAACAGGGCCCTGACTCTCATCCTTTATGTGTGTCCCCAGCCTAGAATTTGTTGACCTGATGGAAACGACCCAGTACATGAATGAGAGAGAACTCCGAGTATTAGCAGATACCTATGACTCAGTTTATCTGCATCCGGTATGGATGGGCGCTGTGCGGTCAAGGAGTGGTGGCAATCCGGGGGTCCCTCATCACTATTCCCACCCTATTCTGGGTGAAACTGTCAAGCAGATAGGGCTGCACCTCTGACCCCCCTCTCTGGCTCCCCACTGTCTACAGAACTCTTACACTTGCGCCTGCCTGGCCTCGGGCTCTGTCCTCAGGCTGGTGGATGCAGTCCTGGGGGCTGAGATACGAAACGGCATGGCCATCATCAGGTAGGACCCCTTGGCATGTTATTACTTCCGTTTTGTGGGGTGGGTTGAGTCAGGGCCTCACTATGTAGTTCAGACTGCTCTGGAATTCACTGTGTAGCCCAGGCTGGTCTCGAACTTGCAGCGATCCTCCTGCCTTAGCCTCCCGAGTGCTGGGATCACAGGCATGAGCCACCACGCCCGGCATATTACTTCCATTTTTAAGAAGTCTTTCTCTCAAGTATAAAGCATATAGGCCTGGGTATTACCTTCGTGTAGTATGAGACAGAAGGCACAAAAGAGAGTATAATAAAAAGTCTCTTTCCCATCCTTGTCTCCCAGATACCCATTCCTCTCCTGGGAGTGGTCATCATAACCAGTGACTCCTGTGTCTTCTCACAGGTAGTCTTATCTTAGGAATACGTTTCATGTTCCATTAGTTCTAAGGTATACATTTTTTCATGTCTAGAACATCTTGAAATCCAGATGCATCTAACAGTGATGTGTCCGAATTTCATGGGAGCATTTTCTGCTTTGTTGTGGTGGTGTAAAATCCTGGAATATCTTGTCACAGTTGGTTTTCCGGAATTGATGAAATACAGAAGATAGAGCCTTTGTTCCCTGCCCTCTTTTTAACAACTCCTGTAGTCAGTACTTGACACACACCCATCCATGCCATTACATTTTTCACTTACACATCTTAGAAAGCTTTCTGTAACATATGGAGCTTAGACCATACTCAGTGGATGCCGTTGTATAAATGCACTTTGAATTAACTACTCTCCCACCACTTAGGTTTCCCCCAGTCCTTTGCTGCTTCAAACAAATGTCACCGCAAATATGATGGCACATTTATAAACAAGTTATTTTACACACTTTGTGGGCTAAGTCCCCACAACAGAATAACTGGGTATGAGAATGTATGCTAGGATAGCTTTAATGATCGGTTTCAAATCTCCTTTGGAGATAAAGCAGTAGATTGGGGGTGGTGACAGTTTGAGAGTCCTAGTCACTCAATTCCTGGCGGATTAGTGGCGCTAACAAGAGAAGTTGGTGGTCCCAGGGTTAGAGAGCAGGGGTGAGTCTCTCATCTGTGGCCTTCCCTGTCCTGTCCAGGCCTCCTGGACACCACGCCCAGCACAGTCTAATGGATGGGTATTGCATGTTCAACCATGTGGCTGTGGCTGCTCGCTATGCTCAAAAGAAGCACCACATTCAGAGGTCAGTGGCAAAGGGCCGGTGGGATGGGGTAGGGTACCACTCCTCCAGAGTCTCCTTGATCCCATTGCAGAGACAACCCCCCTTTCTCTGGCTCCCAGGGTCCTTATCGTGGATTGGGATGTGCACCATGGTCAAGGAACACAGTTCGCTTTTGACCAGGACCCCAGGTACAACTCAAGTCCCACCCTAGCTGCTAGACTCTGAGCTACCCTCTCCACCACCCTTCCAGGCCCAGTCAGAAGGGCTGGAAGGCAGGGTGAGGGTTTCATCTTCATTGGGCCCCCCTGGGACCAGGGTCTGTACTCCTCCCTGTGTGTCTGTTGTGTCCTTATTTTACTGGCAGAAACTGTTGGATTGATTCCTATTTTACAGATGGAGGGGACTGAGCTTAACCAGTTCAGAGATCACACAGAGAAGTGGGAGAGATTTGACCCACAAATATTATCTTCATTTTGAATTGTTTTTTCCTTGGTCCTTCTCTTTCTTTCATCTTTTTTGGGGGCTGGGGGGAGAGACAAGGTCTCACTTTACACTTGATCTTAGCCAAAAGGCCGAAAAGCGATACAAGGTCTCACTTTGTAGTTCTGGCTGGCCTTGAAGTCACTATGTAGCCCAGGCTGGCCTTAAACTCACAGTGATCCTCCTGCCTCAGCCTCCCAAGTGCTGGGATTACAGGAGCCCACCACCAGCATTGTAATTTTTTGGTTTTGGATGTTTTGTTTTGTTTTGTTTTGTTATGGAGAATCAAACTCAGGACCTTGTGCTTGTCAAGTAGGTGCGGCACCACTGAGCTACATCCCCAGTGGTCCTTCTCTTTCATGCTGGTAGTTTTTCTTCAAATGTCTCCATGCCTTTTGATCTTCCATTTCCTCATCTCTCAGTCTCTTAAGTCCAGCAGCAGGAAGACAAATTGGGCAGTCCTTAAATGCTATTATATAGGTAAAAGAAAACACATAAAACTAAAGTCAAGTAGATGCAAGAAACAAGTAGGGCAACACACTATCTGGCCCCCTCCTGTCTCTCTCAGGAGCTTTTCTCTCATTTCCTACTCTTAAAAAAAGAAAGAAAGAGCATGCCTGTAATCCCAGCACTTGGGAGGCTGAGGCAGGAGGATTGCTGTGAGTTCAAGACCAGCCTGGGCTGCATAGTGAGTTCCAGGTCAGTCTCAACTGCATAGTGAGACCCTGTCTCAAACCCCACCCCCAAAAAAGAAAGAAGTAAATGAGTTGGTCATTTAGTGCATTGGCTATGAAGAATTGATTTTTTGCACATTGACCTAGATTTGCACTTGACTTCTCCAGAAGAGAAACTTCAGGCCATCTTGGGTGGGTGCTTGCCCACCTACTCAGCATGGGAGAGGGCCCTAGGCCCCCAGAGCCTCAGCCTCTACTTTCCAGAGATTGTTGAAATCTCTTGTTTGAGAAACTTTCTCTTGTTTTCTTTGTGGATTGATCTTTTTTTTCAGTGCTAGGAATTGAACCCAGGGCTTCTGCATGTTAGGCTAGTGCTTTACTACTGAGCCACACCCCAAATCTGATATTTCTTTGAAATTCCTTTACTGGCTGCAGGTGTAGCTCAGTGGTAGAATATATATTTTATATGCAAGATCCTGGGGTCCTTCCTCAGCACCAAAAAATAAATAGGCAGGTGCGGTGGGTGCAGGCCTGGAACCCCATTAGTTTGGGAGGCGAAGAAGGAGGTTTGCAAGTTTAAGGGCAGCTTTTTTAAAACGGCTAGCGATGTAGCTTCATGAGAAGACCCTGGGTTCAATCTTCAGTACCGGGAAAAATAAGCAAATAAATAAAAGGCCTTTACTGTCTTTTAACTGGGATAGCAGGAGGGCAAGGAGGAGGTAAACCTGTGGTATGAAACCACCATCCCACTGGAAATTGGTTGAACTTATTTATTATTTTGCAGTGCTTGCTTCGGCAGCACATATATTTATTATTTTGTGTTTTTTGAGACAAGGTCTCACCATGTAGCCCAGGCTGGCCTAGAACTCACTGTTTAATCCAGGCTGGACCAGAAGTTGTATTTAATTTAAATTTTATTTTTATTTTTGAATTTTAAAAAAATTTTTGGTATCAGGAATCGAACTCAGGTCTCTACACTTACGAGGCAGGCACTGTGCTGCTGAGCTACATCCCTGGCCCAGTTGAATTTATTTTAAATCCCTTTCTGGACTGAGGTGTGCTCTAGTGGTGGCGGACATGCCTGGCATGCATGAGGCCCTGAGTTCCACCCCTAGCACTGCAGTCAATCAACCAATCAATCAGTTCCCTTCTATTTGTTTTATAAACCTAGTTTCCTTGGGTGCTACTTCTTTTCTTTATTGACTCTGGTAGCTTTCTTGTGGAGTTGGATTTCTTTAAATATTTTTTTTCTTCTACTGATAATTTTTTGTATGCTGAAACCATCTAAAAATATGGAAAATTTGTGTGTCATCCTTCCATGGGGGGCATGCTAATCTCTGTATTGTTCCAGGTTTAGTATAAGTGCTGCCAGAATGAGCACGCTGGTGATAATATTTATGACCTCCTGTATATTTCTCTTTTTTTAATTGAGTTTATTGGTACATTCTAGGTATACAGTACAGTTACAGTCATACTGGGATCTTGTACCTTTACATGACAGGTCTTGGTTCTCATTTTTTTGTTTCTCTTTTTCTAGTGGTTACCTTACTAAAAGTTTAGAGCCAATGTTTAAATGCCAGTGTCAAAAATAAAACAAAGCTGGGCATGGTAGCGCACATCTGTAATCTCAGCATTTGGGAGGCTGAGGCAGGAGAATTGCTGCAAGTTCAAGGCTAGCTGGGGCTACATAGTGAGTTCAAGGCCTGCCTGAACTGCATAGTAAGACCCTATCTCAAAAAAACAAAAATATTTTTAAATAAATAACAGAAAAAAGAAAAGAAAAAAAATAATCCCCCACTCGTTGAAGACCATAATTTTTGCATGGATTTCATTCTCCAAGAAAATTTTCTTCATTTTTAAGAATTATTTTATGTTAATTGCATTAAATTTCAAAGCTACATTATCAACATTTATGATGTAATTTGAATTTATCTAGATTCGTTGATTGTCACTATTTTCTGCATTCCTTAAAAAGAGAAAGAAATAATGCTGCCTTTCCAAAAAGGGGAAATCCTTTCTAGAACAAAGTGACTGAACAGATATAATTTTCAAATCTAAATTATTTTTTCCCTTTTTTTTTTTTTTTTTTTTTTTTTTTTTTTTTTGGTAGCAGGAATCGAACTTGGGACCTTGCACTTGTGAGACCGGTGGTGGAACCACTGAGCCAAATCCCTGGCCTGGGTGATAGCTTATTCATTGTGCTTTCCCTAGTAGGAATTAAGTCCCCCGCGGTCCTCTACCTTGCCTTCACTTAGAACCTGTTCCTTATGCTTTGCAGTGAGAACCTGTATGTCATGTCCTTTAAGTCACAATCTGTTCATTTCTCTTTTCTGTCAGAATTCTTATATCATGCTTTTTTTTTTTTTTTTTTGTACCAGGGCTCAAACTCTGGTCTTGCGCTTTTGCAAGGCAGGTGGTACCACTGAGTTAAATCCCCGGCCTTTATATCATGCTTTTAATTGTTTTTCCCCGGTACTGGGAATCAAACTCAGGACCTTGCACTTGCCAGGCAAGCACCGGCACAGCTGAGCTAAATCCCCGGCTATCATGCTTTTTAGTACCCGTCTGTTAGGCCCTCTCCCTGCCTGTGTTCACTTCCTCACCTGTAAAATAGAAATACAGTAGAAGTGGCCTATAAGCCACTGGGGAGAAGGGATTGGCTTTGTGACAGTCCTAGCCAGCACCCCAGCTCTAGCTCCACACATAGATCCAAGTCCTACCCAGCCTTACTCCTGGCCCCTTGTTTTTCCCCTTCCTTTAGAGGAACTGCTAAGCTCCCCAGCCTGGCTTGAGGCTCCTTGCAGCAGAGCTGGCTCCCCTAGCTAAGAGCCCCAGGGCCCCTGAGTGCCTCTAGTATCACAGGATTTGTCTTGCTGTTCCTACCTTGGTCACAGAGGCAGTTAGCAGGCAGATATGATCTAGAGCAGGTGTGTCCAACCTGTGGCTCACAGGCCTCTTGCTCTTTTTCCGTTAATGTTATAATAAGTATTAAAAAGGAAGATTTGTCCATTAGATATATTAACTATATATTTTATACATGGCCCAAGACAATTTTTTACTCAGTGCAGCCCAAGTGGGCCAGGCAACCAATAGTCCACAGGGTTGGACATGCCTGACTAGAGTCTCCCACAGGATCAGGAGGTCCCAGGGGCTGGGGTAGACCCCATAGCACTTGGGATCTTGGACCTAAGTCTGGAATTGGGTAGGCACTGAAGCGGCAGTGGCCATATGAATGAGAAAATGGGTAAATAAATGAATTGATGAATGGGAAGGTGAATAAGCTGGTGACTGAATGGAAAGATGAATAAATGGAAGAATGGATGTATAAATTAGTGCCTCGTGTGGTGTGGCACATGCCTGTAATCCTAGTACAGTGGAGGCTGAGGAAGGAGTATTCCAAGTTTGAGTGTAGCCTGGGCAATTTTTTTTTTTTTTTTTTTTT